CAGGAAGGGCATGAGAAAGGACAGAGAAGAGAGGCGTGCACCACTGGCTCCACGAGGAGGCGGTGCACGTCCGGGGCCAGGTCGCCGACGAGGACCTCCTTCTGTTGCTGCAGCAGGGCGCGCGCTCGTTGGGCACGCTGAGGGCCTGGGCCAGGTAGCCGCTGAGGGCCTGGGCCAGGTAGCCGCCGAGGACCTCCTGCTGTTGCTGCAGCAGGGGGCGCGCACGTTCGGCACGCAGAAAGCCGGGGCCAGGTCGCCGCCGACGTCCTGCTTGTGTCGCTGCATCACAGCGCGCATCTGGCGTGAACATTCAAGGCCTAGGGGAGGTTCCCGGCGACGCTGTTCTGGTCTATGCGCCGCGCACCCAAAGTGCTAAGGTCGCCAGTCGCAAAGCCTCAACGGCTGGGCTGAGTGGCCTGCGAGCTGCAGCGACCAGAGAGCAAAATTTCGGTTCACGCGAATCTTTCTTGTCTTTTGTTGTTGTTGTTGTTGTTGTTTTTTTTGCAATTTCTGTCTTTGCGTTGAATGTTTGCGTTTTGCGAAGTGGTTTATGGACCGGCCCCTCTACCTTCTGACCTCTTTAATTTGATCCTCTGTGGAGCAATCTCTTTGAGATTTCGTAGAAATCTTTTCATCTAAATCGTGAAACGTTTCCTAAAATTTGAGGTCAGTCCTTGAAGCCGTTCAAGAGTGAGAGCATAACTGTTCTTTTCACTTTCACGCTGCATTCCGGTCTGGTCTGCCCAACTGTACATCGACCTTGCCGGACAAAACTGCGGTTTCAAAACTTTTCTAATTGGCTGCTTATCTGGTGGATTTGTCGGGCCTAGAAGGATGCGGGATAGTGCACGAACAAATGGCCCAAACAGTACAGATGTCTTTATCTTAAGTACTTTAGTGTATTTAAAAGAAAACGACATTTCGTGTCATCTACGCTGACTCGGTGCGACCCGCGCTCTTCCTGACTTCCTATTGGTTGTTACTAGCGCGCATGCGCCCGCGCACCACTCGCGTCCCCCCACTCCCCTTTCGACCGTTACAACGTGCGCTGTGCGCTGCGCAGGGACTGGCGGTTTGGTGATTGGTGGTGTAAGCTGGCTGTGTTGTTTCTTCACCCTGGGTTTATTCTTTATGATTATCGTCTCGGTATGTATTTTGTCATCATCAGTATATTATCTGATTGATGTATTTTATGAGCTGTTTGTTGTGATCGAGTCATATTAGTTTTCCTCGTGGATTTTCACGGTTGGTCTGGGCTCGTTCGAGGTTACCATGCATCATTGTAGCGTTTCTTAACTGTAAACTACTAACATTCATTGAACCATTGTGTTTTACCAAAGCTTCGTTTCTAATTTTTGTTTAGTCATGGATCAGCCGCCGCCTTATTTTGTGTTCGTGAGGTTTGAGGACTCGAAGAAGACCCCTCACGTTGTCCCAAGCCTCGACATCAGAGATTTTTCACCTGCTCATTCGTCGGATTTCGACAAATCCAAAACCTATTATGTGTGTTGGCAAGCAGCAGAGGGCTCCTTCGACGGTTTTTTTCCTGCGAAAATAATATGTATTGGAGGTTAGTATTCAAGTTGATAGTCAAACTGAAAGGTTAGGAGTTTTTATTGTAGACACGCGAAGATAGGGAATGACAAACATGGACATTTCAATAGGTGATTATTATTTACTTTCCATTAGTTTTTCTTTCTCCAAGTAATGCTGCCATTCGCCCTTGCAAAACTTCTTTGACTTGGTTTGACACTGACTAACAGAAACACTATGGTTAAACGCGTCAGTGCATTTATGTTCAAATGTGTTAAAGTAATAATTGTTATCACATCCCGGTTGTCCTCAACATCTCAGAGTATCGTCTGTTTTCTTTACATTCTATTATTTATTTTGCAGCTTCACTCCTAGAACTGAAAGAGAATGCGACTGCTCTGAATATAAAGCGGTTGCCGCCCAACTTCTACACAATGATTCAAGGTGATAAGCACCGTGAAGATGATGAGCAGGACAAAGATGAGTGCGAGGATGTCAAGCAGACGAGAAAGGTAAGGTCAATTTCTATTTGATTTGAAGTTCTTTTGTTTTTTCTGTAGTAATCTTTTGTTATTGTTTTCTATACTTTTAGGCTTCTGCCTCAGATGAAAAGAAATCTAAAAAGAAGCGGTCTATGAATGTATTAGCGGAAATTGGACAGAACAATACAGATGCCAAACGTACTCGCAAGAGTAGTCCTGCACCCAATAATTGTTTCTTGAGCCCTGTTGAAAGTGAAGGAGTTGGAAGTCCCTTAAAAGTTAAAGTGAAAAAGCAGAGTTCTCGCACTGGTACAGAATCAGGAAGTCCTCAGAAGAGTCTTATTGAGAAGAGTCCTAGTAAGAAGAGTCCTGCTAAAACTTCTAGCTTGAATGCCAGTCCTGGGAAGGCTATCACTACTGCCCAGCCTGCTAATGGATCTCCACAGCTGTCTAAGCCTACAATAATGGAAGAGCCACCATCAAACACTGTATCTGATGATGACTACGATATCTCTAGGACTGCCACTTTGCCACTTTCCATGACCACGCCAAGAAAACGAAGTGGCTCTGAAAGCTCAGATAGCTCTGATTCATTGTCGGACTCATCTGATTCTTCGTCTGGTTCTTCAAGTTCATCTGCCTCATCTCAAAAGGTAGAAAGTGATGCAGCTTCAGCAGGTTTCTCTGATCTCTCTCGCTCTGACTCTTGTGATTCAAACATTGTTCTTATGAGCCAAGTAGAAAGTTTGAGAGCGGCATGCAAACTGTCAGAAAAGTCACGTTTGGAATGCTATGAACAGTTACAAAAATTGAAAGAAGATATGGCCAAGATTGAAGATCGAATGCGTACACTAGAAAATGAGAATCAGACTTTAAAACTTGAAAATGAACAGTTACGTAAAGGTAAAACAGTCAGCCTTGTTTATATTGGGAAGTAGTTCTTTATTGAGTTGCTGATAATTATTCTATTATTTCAGATAAGATGAAGCATTCAGTTTCCCGAAACATTCTCCAAGATTTTCCAGAAGAGGTAGATGGGGAAAAGCAACTAAGTAAGTTTACATCATGTCCCTCCCTCCTTCCCTCATGTATGAGACTGCACTTCTGTCACTATATTATTCACAAGATTGCCTTTATTTTAGTGTACTTTTTGGTACTTCTAGTCATGGCTTGTTTAATTATCAGATGCAGCACTCACCCCTAAGAGCGAAAAGAAAATCAAAATGCCAAGAAATAAATCTGATTGGGATGGCCTGAGCCAAGATGAAATTGTCAAGATTTCTCACGAAGTAAGAGATGATTTACTTGGAACAAAGTTGCTGCCCACAAATTCTTCAGGAAAGGTGAGCATTTTCTATGTAATGTCTAGGCTGGGTTCAAATTCCAAATTAGTGTCTATCACACACACTTGTGTGTCACATTTTTGTACTCTGGGCTAAACTTTTTCATTCTATTTAAGAGTTGGCACTTTTGGTTTCCAGGTTCCTCTAAACATTCTCTAGTTTTTGTTGACAGGTCATATTAGAATTTTTAAAAAATATGATGTATTTTTTTTATGTTGAGTACTTAAACAGTTTGATATGTTGTCCTGTGTACAAGAAAGATAGGCAATGTTAAGGGAACTTTGAGGAACCTGGGTTACAATTGAATACCACCAAATTTTGCTATGAGAGTTCGGGTACTTTGCTAACTTTTGTTGATATTTTTGATAAAAGGGTGGGAAACAAATTTAACTTTTTGCCATAGGTGGTTTTGAACCAGGTATTTGTTCTCTTTTCATGGAATGGTGTTGTCAGATTTTACCTTACTGCAAAGAATCACTGAGTGTTATCTATACCATTATTATTTCTCATCTCTGTATATCTTTGTTTCAGATTTGTCTTGGAGAAAATGTGGCTATTTCCAAAGACAAATGGACTAAATCCATTAAACTTCAATCAAAGAACTCTCTTTTTGTCACTAAACTGAGTCAGGCAGTCTACGGCAGTCAGCAACTCTCTGTGAGAACTGTAGGAACTCCGAAGGAGTCTGACAAGCAACGCGCTACCCCTAAGAAGGTGGACACCGTTGTTGGTGTGTATATTCTTCAACTCCTACCCGCTCTCAATAAGAATGCCATTTGATTATTTTTCTTAATTGTATTTATTTATTTACAGCTTGTTTACGTGGTAAAATTCTGGCCCAGCACCCAGACTTTCCTGAAGTTGATAAGGCAGCTCTTGCTGCTAAATCTATATTAGCACGAAAGATGCAAGATGAGGCCAAAGCCTTGAAAAGTAAGCTACTCATCTGGCTTAAAACCCTTTGTTTCATTGTTTAACTCTTGAACTCTCTGTTAATTTTTATATTTATTTGTTTTGTTGCAGAAGAAGGTGAGTCAAAGCGAAAGAGCAGATCAAGTGAAGAGCAAGTCAAGAAGAGAGAGAGCAAAGCACACGATGGGAAGAAGGTAGTGGACAAGATGAGAGAGAGGGAAGATGAGAAGGGAGTAGAGAAGAAAGAAAAAGAGGGCAAGAAAGAAAAAGACAGAGTGAAGGTCTCAAAAGAGGCTGAACAGGCTGACAAAGATAAAAAGAAGAACAGGAAAGATAAGAAGAAAAAGAAGAACAGCAAGATTGAAAAAACTAAAGTATGGCTTGACAGGAACAAGTAATTGTTTCTACATTTCTCATTTGACTGTTAAACTGAATCTTAACAGCTTTTAAATTGTAAGCGAGTTTCTTGTTTCTTTTCTTTCCAATAATGATGGAC